TTGTCTTTGACACTGCCTAAGCTTTTACTAGAGAATCTGAATACTGGTCCATTAAAGTAAATCCCACATGATGATTTGCAAAGAACATAAATAGCATAAACAGTGTCATACTTGTAGCACTGACCTGAATACAATTGAATTCTCAGGCATTGAATTTAAGATTTTTTGAATTTACTGGCCCGTATTCCAGTTTACAATTTATTCTACTATATATTTAACTAAATTCTCTAAAATTTACACTGGTCATGGTAATCTGTTACTGTATTAGTAAGGGGCAGGATGTGAAGTGGTTGAACATGCTTGAACAAGATATTTTGAGTATTAAAACATTACTTAGAACATGCAAATTGAAAAAATTATAATGATACGGTTTGTCGATCAGGATATTTTAAAGATATTGGTCAATTGTTTATGATGTTAGAAGTTTCTTGATTGTGATTAATATTATAGGTCCTGCTGACAGTGTCCAATGTGAAAGTTCATCGAAAAGGCAGGAACTGCTGGGGGTCGTGTGGTTGAGGCTAGATCTGACGGGTAAGCAATATAGTTGAGGTTACAAGGACCCAATTTTAAAATTGTCTACAGTAGAACCAGATATTTTTTCATGCCAAAAATTCCCGAAATCTTAATTCAGTCTAATTTCACAAGGATTAAAATTCGCATAATTAGCTTTTTCTTCTTAAATATTAATGAAAAACTGATTACCCTGATACTGGGGTATAAAAATAGGTTTGAAGGGTACTATGGAAACGCATTTTTTCGTAACATTTGTGTGATGTTTAAAACTGTCATTTCAAACACTAGACGTTATATTGTTGTTTTTTTTTTTTTTTTTGGTATTTCCAAACTAGATGGGAGGATGAGTGCAGAAGCCTGCGTAGAAAGATTCGGCGCATGGAGGAGCGAATTACTGCTTTAGAGAGTCAGAATACAAAAGTGGAGGACCCCGAATTATAAGCTGTGGAACATCTAAGTGATACTCAAGAAGTCTTGGTTACATTAGCAAAGACTATCTTCACTGTGGAGGAACTTGGAACCCACTCTAGGACTGGAAAGATGACCAATAAGTGCAAGGATTCCCCGAGACCACCACTTGAACCCTTGAAACTCAGCAATCTTTAAAGACTAGTGAGGAAGAAAACCGGTGTATCAAAAGAAGTATTTAATAAAAAACTAGAGAACTTACAAAAGGTCATCAGAAGGAAATAAATCACAAAATAAGTGAAACATTGGAAACTAAAAAAACTAATTTCAAGTTCTTGGTTTTTGCACTTTTGAAAATCAGCAAGCTGTATTGAAGAAACTATTTCTTAGTTTTTGTTAAACAAAGATGTGTAGTTTTTAAATTTTACATGTAGTTTTACATGTTTGTGGTTTACTTTTGAACAATGTAGCTTAGAGCTTATGTTGAGTACATATTGTTTAGACTTGTCAGTCCGCAAATTGATTGGTATCATCTGTCTGCTCTGTTCTTGCATTTTTCATGAATGTGAAATAATGTAAATGTAGTTTAGGAACTGTTCATGAACTGTTCTTGCACTTTTTGTGTTTTATTAAAACAATATTATTATCTTTAGGAAATCTTATTTGGGAGTAAGAGTGCATCTTTAACAAGGAAATATTATAAAACAAAGCAGAAGAGAATAACCAAAATAACTGTTTAGTTTAGGGAAATATTCTACATCTTAAAAAATGTGTTGAGACTCAATACTTACTATTATATATATAAAGCCAACAAATGTATATAAAATATTTGCTATTATATCTGCTCTTTGGAATGATTTTGTATTTTTAACTAATTCAACTACTATATCCAGTGATTTTTATGCCCCCGAAGGTGGGCATATTAAAATCGCACTGTCCGTCCGGCTCTGTATTTGGTAGTATTCTACCAAAATTTACCACTGGTATTTCAGTGGAATTCCACTGGAAAACCAGCGGTAAACTTTTAATGGAATACCACAAAAGTTTAAACTGCTGGTATTTCAGTGGAATTCCACTGGAAAACCAGCGGTAAACTTTTAGTGGAATACCACCAAATTTTACCGCTGGTATTTCAGTGGAATTCCACTGAAATACCATCGGTAAAATTTGGTTGAATTCCACTGGTATTCCAGTGGAATTCCACTGAAATACCAGCGGTAAAATTTGGTGGTATTCCACTAAAAGTTTACCGCTGGTATTTCAGTGGTATTCCAGTGGAATTCCACTGAAATACCAGCGGTAAACTTTAAGTGGAATACCACCAAAATTTACCGCTGGTATTCCACTGAAAATCCACTGGAATACCAGCGGTATTCTAGTGGTATTCCAGTGGTATTCCACTGTAATTTTTACTGGGGTATGCATGAACAAGTTGAAAATTGCAAATTTATAATAAGTCAAGGGCAAAAACTCTAACAAATCTGAAACAAGAGGGCCATGATGGCCCTAGATCACTCACCTGACCCATCAAACTCATCCGAACAATTACCTTGACAAGCATTCTGACCAAGTTTCATGATAGGTGAGTCAAAAATGTGACCACTAGAGTGTTAACTAGGATTATCCATATTTGAGCAGTGTGACCTAGTTTTTTACCTAGGTGACCCATATTCAAACTTGACCTAGAAATCATCAAAACAAACTTTCAGACCAATTTCCAGGATACTTGGATCAAAACAGTAGCCACTAGAGTGTTAACAAGATGTTTCTATTTTTAGCTCCGGTGACCTAGTTTTTCATCCAAGATGACCCATGTTCAAACTCATCCCAGCAATTACCTAGACAAGCATCCTGACCAAGTTTGATGATAATTGAGTCAAAAATGTGACCACTAGAATGTTAACAAGGATTTTCTATATTTGGGCAGTGTGACCTAGTTTTTGACCCTAGGTGATCCATATTCGAACTTAATATAGAATTCATCAAAACAAACTGTCAGACAAATTTACAGGATATTTGGATCAAAACAGTAGCCACTAGAGTGTTAACAAGATTTTTTTATTTTTAGCTCCTGTGACCTAGTTTTTTATCCGAGATAACCCATGTTCAAAATCATCCGAGCATTTACCTAGACAAGCATCCTGACGAAGTTTGATGACAATTGAGTCAAAAATGTGACCACTAGAGTATTAACAAATTTTTCTATTTTTAGCTCCTGTGACCTAGTTTTTCATCAGAGATGACCAATGTTTGAACTCATCTGTGCAATTCCCTAGACAAGCATCCTGACCAAGTTTGATGACACTTGAGTCAAAAATGTGACCGCTAGAGTGTTAACAAGGTTTTTCTATTTTTAGCTCCTGTGACCTAGTTTTTTTTCCAAGCTGACCCATGTTAAAGCTTTCACCTAGGAGCTTTCACCTAGACATGCATCCTGACAAAGTTTGATGATGATTGAGGCAGATTGTGACCGCCAAAGTGTTATAGTGTTAACAAGGTTTTTCTATTTTTAGCTCCAGTGACCTAGTTTTTCATCCGAGATGACCCAAGTTCAAACTCATTGGAGCTATTACCTAGACAAGCATCCTGACCAAGTTTGATGATGATTGAGGCAAAAATGTGAGCGCTAGAGTGTTAACAAGGTTTTTCTATTTTTAGCTCCAGTGACCTAGTTTTTCATCAAAGATGACCCATGTTCGAACTCATCCAAGCTATCAACTAGATATTAGCATCCTGACCAACTTTGATGATGATTGCCTGACCAACTTTGATCATGATTGAGGCAAAAATGTGACCGCTAGAGTGTTAACAAGGTTTTTCTATTTTTAGCTCCTGTGACCTAATTTTCCATCCGAGATGACCCATGTTTGAACTCATTTAAGCTATCAACTAGATAAGCATCCTGACCAAGTTTGATGATGATTGTGGCAAAAATGTTAACGAACAAGTGTGGATGGACGACGTACGACAGACGACGGACTACGGACATTACTTATATTTTAAAGATCCTAAAACCTCACCCTGAGCAAGCTCAGGTGAGCTAAAAAGTCCACATGCAAAATCCCAGGTGCATAGCTTCACAGTGATGTTGATCATTATTCCTGTAAAGTTGGTTGATTCTAACTCAAATACTCAAGGAACAAATAACACAACATAATGAAATAGTTTTTACTAAGTAAAGGGCAATAACTCTATAAATGCTGGATAATTCCACAAGCGAACCCCAAGGTGCATAAGTGCACAAGCAATCCACAAGCAAAATCAATGGTGCACAACTTCACATGCTGAGCAATATTCCTGTAAAGTTTCATGACCCTAGGTCAAATACTTCTTAAGCTACATGTGACACAAGTTGAAAATTGCAACTTTTTACTAAGTCAAGGGCAATAACTCTTACAAAACAGAATAAATCCACAAGCAAGACTCCAGGTGCACAACTTCACATGCTGAGCAACATTCCTGTAAGGTTTCATGACTCTAGGTCAAATACTTTTTGATGAGTTACGTGCGGAACAAGTTGAAAATTGCAAATGTTTACTAAATCAAGGGCAATAACTATAAAAATACTAAATATATCCACTCAAAAATACCCAGGTGCACAATTATACATGCTGATCAACATTCCTGTAAAGTTTTTTGACCCTAGGTAAAATACTTTTTGAGCTACATGAGACACAAGTTGAAAATTGCAAATTTTTACTAAGTCAACAGCAATAACTTGACGTGCAAAACTTCACATGCTGAGCAATATTCATGTAAGGTTTCATGACTCTAGGTCACATACTTTTTGAGTTATGTGCCACACAAGATGAAAATTTTAAATTTTTACTAAGTCAACAGCAATAACTTGACAACAAAACAAATGTGCACAACTTCACATGCTGAGCAATATTCCTGTATGATTTCATGACTAAGTCAAAAACATTTTGAGCTACATGAGACACAAAATGAGAATGGATCAATGGATGGACAAGGGTAAATCAAATCCCCACCCCTGCCTCCCCCAAAGAGGGTGCACAAAAAGTTTGTTAAATATTAAAGAGAATCACAAGCAGTAAACTCTAAAACTCACTTACCAGTTCATCAACTAAAAGTCTCTGAATTATACATCAAGTATTGCCTGTTTTGCCTCATGTCCAACTTGCAAGATATTCTTGGTTATTATACCATTGGCTCTCTCAATTAATTGTCTTCTGTAGCCACTTTGCAACCCACCTGAAAATAAAAAAAACAACATTTTGCTATCAATGTTTACACATTACATGTATAATGTGAATGTATTTACAAATTTAATTGCAAGTTGCAACTTAATTGCAACTTTGAAATTTATCATTACAGGTATACCTTAAATTGACAATAAAGTTGTTTACATGAACATACAAGAAAGTACATTAACAGTTTAAATTAACATTTTTATGTTTCCCTATGAATAAATAGGCTACTTACATGTAAAGCATTTGCAAAAAAAAAAAAAATTCAAAATGCTGTTAGTCAATTCTCCTTTCCACTATATGCAAACGAAAACAACTGGGCATTAACTGTTATCTTGTGAGTGTGTGAAAAATTAAGATCATGTGACCGTCTATTTTGTCTATTTAGGGGCTTTACTTTGTGCTGTGATCTTTACCCTCAATTATCAATCAATTCAAATTGACCCCCTTTACCATTCACCAATAGACAGGTACAATCGGATTAAGAGATTATGGCTGTTGCAAATACACTATTATTGAGGGCTTAAACCTTTAACTTGCTGGGAAAAAAAACAACTCAGAAGGCATTGCCATCAGTATAGAGCCAGGCCAATCTGGACATCTGTGTAGTCTGACCAGGCTCTATATTTTTGTTTGATTAAAGTTTAATTTTCATCTTAATGTCCCTAAATATTTGTCATGGATCAGAACTGTTCACTAATTAGGGGAGAGAGTGCGTAAGCAGCCGGACAGCTCAGTCGGTAGAGTACGGTTTTCAAAGGGTCCTGGGTTCGAGTCCCCATCAGGCTGCACATTTTCCTCACTGTGACATTTGGCCCCTAACGGGAGTCTATTAGTAGATATAGCTCTGAGATTTATTTACATTGCTCTATAACTGTGTAATTCGAGGAAGAATTTCAATATAGCTAGGAAGTTAATGTCATGGTTTAGAACTGTTCACTTCTTAGGGGGCTCCTGGATAGTTCAGTCAGTCAAACAGCGGAACGGTATTCCTACTAATCCTGGATTTGAGTCCTAGTCCAGCTGCACTATTTTTTCATCCTGTGACAGTTCTGGATAGTTCTTAAAATGAAATCAGGAATAGACAATTTAAGAAATTCAGCATATGAAGCGTGTAATAAATGTATAATAGAATTTATGCAGTAGTTCAGTGATTACACTGTGTTACTAAAAGTCCAGGGGTTGCAAAATTTATTCCTTGTTATCCCAGCTCTCTTTCATAAGTGACTTGTATTGACTACCCCAAAATTGATAATAATAAGACAGTTCCAAATATTGAAGGCAGCCAGGTCCATTCAGAGAATTTAGTAAAGGTTAATATGTTGTTTTTTTAAATAATAAGCAATATAAGCATGACATAACATCACATTAAACTGGACATTTTAAACAAGAGCACAGCAAATTAAGCCAGGGCAATACACACAGAATGCAACCTTGAATGCAAAGAGAGTATTCTCCCATTAATGTATACTTAAAGAGAGTATACTCCCTTGAATAAATATCTAAATTATTATGTGCAACCTTGACCTTAATATGAGGAGGATGAAACCTGAGCTCTGCACATGTTTATTGCTCTGAAAATAGTCTTAATATTCCTCTATCCGTTCAAAAGATACAGACCTGACGGAAAATATTTAAATTTAGATCACAATGATCAACTAAAATAAACATGAGTTGACCATCTACACGGTGATAGGGCGATTACCACAACTTTTCCGCGCAACGTCAAAATATCATCCTTCTGACCGAGACACCATATATTTCTGGACAAAATATTAATGGCGGGATAAAAAAATTCCAGGTAATAGCTTACAAAATATCTTACTGCTGGACATTGCAAGATTATTCCAATTGTTTAAGTATTCCATCGAATTTTTGAGACAATTTATTGTTAATCTAGCATAATACAATTCACACAAAAACACATACTTCGGAGAAATAGTGTTTACAAAAGATCGTGTGTACCTCAACATGACTCGTACTTGTCACAAAAACATGTGTTATAACGACGATGTCTTTGTTCAATGACCTAACGAGCTCGTATATTTATTATGGTTAACCCTAAGTTCAAGTTCCATACAAAATTGTGTGTTTCTATCGTTAATTTCAGGGAATATTTGTTGAAAAAAGGCCTACTGATCCGAATATTGGAGCACCGTACAACACTGAATTCAAACACCGCATTCTTTTTTCGTTAGACCGATAAATACTGGAACCGCTATTGAATTATACAATAATCTTACACATATGTTTTATAATAACTTTTATTTGATGAAATTTGATGAAAGATTGTTTACTTGCTGTTATGTTATGTTGCTGTTATATCATACGTTATGTTATGGAACATTTCTGAAGGTCTGATCTGTGTCAATACTACCAGTTAGAAAAGTGCAATGGTATCTATATATAGATAAGGATGTCTTTTCCTTTTCGAACTTATTCAAACTGATAAACCCAACATGGAAAGATTGAAGTTCTATACCATCAAACAACATCGAGAAACAAAAGGAATGAACTATTTGTTAATGGGAATTTCTTATTGCATACTAATTTGATAAAATTGCAAAAGTCATAACACAAATTTTCATGGTGTAGTTTTTGCAGGAACCCGGGCAATATTTCCATAATCTCTTCAGTCATCGTCTCCAATGTGCTTCTTTTAAACAATCTTTTGCGAAAGCTTGACTTCATATTCTTTTTCTTATGTGGTGTGTTACGCATATCGTCCTGAAATACAGGGAGGCGCTTATCCATTGGCGTACTGCTGATATCAGAAGACTTAGTTGGGCGCTCTCCAGTTGCTGCAGTATCTGCAGCTTTGCCAATTTCGCACGTTGCTTTGGCTTGTTCAGACATAGGTTTGAACGTCTTCTTTTTCTGAAAGCAAACATTAATATCAACAAGCATTTGATAGTATTGCAGGCAATACAGTAGTCCCCTACCGGTCCCTCAAAAAGTTCTTTAATTGTCATACACTCCTGTGTATTGCCATTTATAATGAATTTGAGGATGAAGTCTGTATTTGAAAATATCAACCACAAAACATAATAAAATAAGTTTGTCTATATCACAGTAATGTGTTAAGTTTCCATGCTTAGTAAGGAAATTATGTTTATACAACCTTGTCATATTATTACGATGTGGGATTTTAAAGTAAATCCTATAAGGAATGAAGAAGTTGGAGTGAAAATACCATCTTTTGGATGCATGCTTTGTCCAAGTAGGGAGTCCTGTCTGACAGGAATTTGGTAATAAATACCAAATTGTCTTCAAGTTATGTCAATCTGATGACAATAATTTTTTTTTGCTAATATTTCACATAATGTTTTTAACGTTAAACTGCTTACCGTTTTATTTGTGTCGAGCTTGTTTAGAATGTCAACTAAAACGGCACATATTCTAGTAATTTGACCTGCTCAATGACAAATTACCTATATCATTCCAAATTTTTTTAAACATTTAATGATTTAAATATGTTCAAATTCGGAGAACTCTTTGTAAATTTACTTCTAAACTATCAATAATGCCTATTCGATAATAGCTCAGCCAGAGTTTTTTTTAAACTATGAGTCCCTAGTTTGGGGCATGTTGCTGCCATCCGGAGCATTTACTCAATTAAACTGCACTTTAAAAAATTGCCATATACTTTCGGTTTGAATATATCACTGGCAAGTGTATCATTAACATAAACAAATCAAACAAGAGGGCCATGATGGCCCTGAGGTCGCTCACCTGTATATAGGCCCCCCAACCCCCACCCACCCCCCAACGTTGCAGGGCCAATTTAACCCAAGGGCTTTTATTTGCACAAACTCGGTAGACACCCATAAGAAGATGTTTCATGCTAAACATCTAAGCTCTAGCTCATTGGGCTTTTTGAAAGAAGATTTTTTTTAAGTTTTAACTATACACATATAGTTTAAAACAATGACACCCCTGGGGCCGGACCAGTTTTGACCCCAGGGCTTTTATTTGAACAAACTTTGTAGACACTTACTAGAAGATGTTTCATGCTTAATATCTAAACTCTAGCTATTTGGGTTTTTTCAAAGAAGATTTTTAAGTTTTTGCTATACACATATAAAGAAAATCAATGACCCCGGGGCGGGGCCAATTTTGACCCCAGGTCTTTTATTTGAACAAACTTTGTAGACACTCACTAAAAGATGTTTCATGCTTAATATCTTAACTCTAGCTATTTGGGTTTTTTCAAAGAAGATTTTTTAAGTTTTTGCTATACACATAATTATAAGGAAAATCAATGACCCCCGGGGCGGTGCCAATTTTGACCCCAGGGCTTTTATTTGAACAAACTTGTCAGACACCTATTAGAACATGTTTGATGCTAAATATCTTAGCCATAGCTCTTTGAGTTCTTTAAAAGAAGATTTTTTAAGTTTTAACTATAATGCATATAGGGAAAATCAATGATCCCCCGGGACGGGCCTAATTTTGACCCCAAGGCTTTTATTTGAACAAACTTGGTAGACACCCATTAGAACATGTTTCATGCTAAATATCTTAGCTCTAGCTCTTTTGGTTCTTTAAAAGAAGATTTTTTAAGTTTTTACTATATGCATATATAGGGAAAATCAATGACCCCCCGGGGCGAGGCCAATTTTGACCCCAGGGCTTTTATTTGAACAGACTTGGTAGACACTTATTAGAACATGTTTCATGCTAAAAATCTTTAGCTCTAGCTCTTTTGGTTCTTTAAAAGAAGATTTTTTAAGTTTTTACTATATGCATATAGGGAAAATCAATGACCCCCTGGGGCGGGGCCAATTTTAACCCCAGGGCTTTTATTTGAACAAACTTGGTAGACACTTATTAGAACATGTTTCATGCTAAATATCTTAGCTCTAGCTCTTTTGGTTCTTTAAAAGAAGATTTTTTAAGTTTTTACTATATGCATATAGGGAAAATCAATGACCCCCCCCCGGGCGGGGCCAATTTTGACCCCAGGGCTTTTATTTGAACAAACTTGGTAGACACTTATTAGAACATGTTTCATGCTAAATATCTTAGCTTTAACTCTTTTGGTTCTTTAAAAGAAGATTTTTTAAGTTTTTACTATATGCATATAGGGAAAATCAATGACCCCCCAGGGCGGGGCCAATTTAGACACCAGGGCTTGTATTTGAACAAACTTGGTAGACACCTATTAGAACATGTTTGATGCTAAATATCTTAGCCATAGCTCTTTGGGTTCTTTAAAAGAAGATTTTTTAAGTTTTTACTATATGCATATAGGGAAAATCAATGACCCCCCGGGGCGGGGCCAATTTTGACCCCAGGGCTTTTATTTGAACAAACTTGGTAGACACCCATTAAAACATGTTTCATGCTAAATATCTTAGCTGTAGCTCTTTTGGTTCTTTAAAAGAAGATTTTTTAAGTTTTTACTATATGTATATAGGGAAAATCAATGATCCCCGGGGCGGGGCCAATTTTGACCCCAGGGCTTTTATTTGAACAAACTTGGTAGACACTCACTAGAAGATGTTTCGTGCCAAATATCTAAGCTCTAGCTCTTACGGTTTTTTAAAAGAAGATATTTAAAGTTTTTTCTTTCGGTTGCCATGGCAACCAGAGTTCTGCATGGAATTAAATTCTTTGAACAATTTTTAAAGGTGACCACCAAAGGAACATTCCTGTGAAGTTTGGATGAAATTGGCTTAGTGGTTTATGAGGAGATGTCATTTAAAGTAAAAGTTTACGGACGGACGGACGCCAGACGGACGCCGGACGAAAAGCGATCACAAAAGCTCACCCTGTCACTTTGTGACAGGTGAGCTAAAAATAACCACAGGCAGTTGGTGCATGGTTCATCCATATATACTATAAATAAATAAAGTCTTCATAAATAAAATATATTGATGAAAGTAAAAGAACCACTCACTCTACTGCCTGTGATATTCAGAAACGTTAAAATTAAGAAAAACATCGCTTATTTGTTGACTACTTGTAAACATCTGCAATTTATCTACAGATAAGAAACAACAAGAATTTGTAACAGAGTTACCAACGTCCCCCGCCTCAGGGAAGTTTTATATGAAGCATAAAATTGTGCTATTTCAAAAGATTGAGGTATGGATCTAAGGATTTTCAGTCCAAAATTATGATCAATGGTAGATCTGCAAATGCAACAATAAATTTATTAAAGAAATAAAATGAATGTTAAGCTTTGACCTCTTAGTGTGACCTTGACCTTGGAGGTAGGGGTCCAGGTGTTGTGCATGACATATCATCTTATTATTGTAACTATTTTCAAAATCCCTTGATCTATGAAGAAGTTATAGATGGGACACAAAATATACCCTCTAACAGACTATGTTAATCTTTGACCTCTTAGTGTGACCTTGGAGGTAGGGACCCATGATTTGGACCTGACATATCGTCTTATTATTGTGATTATTTGTGCAAAGTATTTTTAAAATCCCTTGATTTATGAAAAAGTTATGGACTGGACACAAAATATACCCTATTACAGACTATGTAAATCTTTGACCTCTTCATGTGACCTTGACCTTGGAGGTAGGGACACTGGTGTTACACATGACATATCATCGTATCATTGTGACTATTTATTCCAAGTATTTTCAAAATCCCTTGATCTATGAAGAAGTTATGGACGGGACACAAAGTATACCATAATGGCATATAGCAGACTCTGTTAACTTTTGACCTCTAAGTGTGACCTTGACCTTGAAGGTTGGGGTGCAGGTGTTGTACTTGACATATCATCTTATTATTGTGACTATTTGTGCCAAGTTATTTCAAAATCCCTTGAACTATGAGGTAGTTCTAGATTGGACACAATATATACCCTTTAACAGACATTATGTTAATTTTTGATCTCAAAATGTGACCTTGACCTTAGAGGTAGGGATGTAGGTGTTGCGCATGACACATCGTCTTATTACAGTGACTATTTGTGCCAAGTATTTTCAAAATCCTTTAACAGACTATATTAATCTTTGACCTCCAAGTGTGACCTTGACCTTGGAGGTAGGTGACCGATTGTTACGCATGACACATCATCTCATTATTGTGAACAATTGTGGCAAGTATTTACAAAATCCCTTCAAAGATAAGAAAGTTATAGACCGGACACAACATATACCCTCAAAAAGACAATGTTGACCTTATATGAGCAAGAGCGACCTTAACCTTGAAGGTAGTGGTCTGAATGTTGCGCTTGACACATCGTCTTATTATAACAAACATTTGTGCCAAGTTATTTTAAATTCCTTTGATAAATGACAAAGTTATGGACCGGACAAGAAATATACCCTGTAACAGACTATGTTAATCTTTGACCTCCAAGTGTGACCTTGACCTTGAAGGTAGGTGACTGGTTTTTACGCATGACACATCGTCTGATTATTGTGAACAATTATGGCAAGTTTTTACAAAATCCCTTCATAGCTAAGAAAGTTATGGACCTGACACGACATACACCCACAAATAGACAATGTTGACCTTGATTGAGAAAGTGCGACCTTGACCTTGGAGGTAGGGGTCTGATTGTTGCCCATGACACATCGTATTATTATAACAAACGGGTCGAACACATATTCAAACAACTGGATTTTACATACATTTTAATGGTTTTATCCTCCACGAGTGGCACTAAGTCCTATGTGCCCGTATTTTAAGAAAAATTCTACATGTATAAGGTAATTCCTAAATCGGAAGTGTTCTCCCGCAACACGTGCTTGGTTCCCTGTTCCGCTCTATGTCAATGTATGTGAAACGGAAGCCGGAGAATACTTCCGGTAGGAATTACCTTCTAAAAATATCGTCTACATGTAGAATATTTCTTTAAATACAGGCTCATAGGACGAAGTTCGACTCGTGGAGCATAAAACCATTAAAATGTATGTAAAATCCAGTTGTTTGCATGTGTGTTCGACCTGTTTGATCTCTTTGTTGATGTATTTCAAGCGTAAATACCAGGTTACAATGTACATGTCATGACCGTCTCAACTTTCGGACCTGGAAGATTTCTTAATTTCGGGCTTTATAACATTAACTAGCGGTTAATTGGGAATCTGTAAATAGTAAATTGTAATAGAAAAATATATTGTGCATTGATTCCATGCAAAAATCCGACGATATTACCGCCCGGTGAAAAATTTTAACACAGATAACCGGCGTACCCATAATTTTCGTACCTGAATGGTGCATACCTTGTCTGTAATAATATAGAAATCTAACTGTGAAAAAAAAAAAATTTTTTAATTTTTTTTTTTTTAATATATTGATGTTTTAGTGCATAAATAACAAGGTTAAACACATTTTAGGTCAAATCAATGCCACTAGCACCTTTGTTTAAAAACTGTTAAAAGGAAACTGTACCGTTGCTTGTCTGTACTAGTCAGTGTGTACTGTACAGCATTGAAACTTTACTTGTACTTTTTGTGGGTTTGGAACTTTCTTCAACGGAGACACACTGTGCAAGAAGCCAACAACGTCTTCCTGCCTTTTCTTCTTTTTTCCTGTTTTTTTCTTTCTTTTTGGTGTGGACGCCATGTTCAGTTGTTGTTGTTTTTGTTTTTCTTTTCGAACTTTGTGACGTATGGCGGGAAAACCGAAGAACAGTGAAATATATAATTCCCAACATTGACTTCTCTATATTTTGATTTTGAAAAATATACAATCCAAATCAAATTATTTATCTTAGAACAAAGGTTTTTGGATAATATTAATTTGATCTCTTTTACACAAATTACTCCGCTCGGGTTAGGTTAGGTTTAATAGTACTAATTTAGTTCTGTCTTATTTTGATGTAGGATGAACGGTAGTAAATTAAATTTGCTATAATATTTATCAAAATATACATAAAATTCATAAATTTCTGACACTTGCAGAACCTAGTCAGGCCCATTTAAAAAAAGAATTACTACCCATGTTTTGAAATGACACATAAATAAAATAGAGAAATACAGAATCCCTAAAGAAAGCACAACACGACAAAATTGAAACCACCCAAAATCACATAGAAAAGGGCTAGGTAGTGCATATATACAATGAGATTAATGAGTAGAGTTTGTTATAAAAGGAAACACTTTGCACAGTAGCAACAAATGCAATATAAATGTAAAAAATACTTTTACAATAACAAACTAGATCTATTCATAAGACATTGTAACATGTATATAATCATCTGGGCGTGAGTCCATTGCTTTTCCTTAGATAGGCTAGATAGGCGTTGATGTGCAAAGATTTTGGATTCACAAAGAGAAAATAGGCGTTGATGTGCAAATTTACATATTGTTATATACTTATTGCAGAGTGTTGTTTGTACCTATAGAATCGACTTCTTGTAACAACCTTACAGTAATTGAAGATTGGATTGCAACCTTAAAGCTGTTTGTTGAATTGATTTTAACAATCCCGAACTCATTTGACCCTCAGGGGCTCGGATAGCTACATATTAAATTGCGCCGAATCACCCCTATTACATGAACAATATGACGTGTGCTCGGGGAATGCCACATTGGTCGTCATGCTTGAGATGTTAACAATAGCCCCTCCTTCTCCTCTCTTTATATCATTCCCTTGGCAACGACCTGAAATATATTAAACCACAATATAACAAATTATCTGAATTGCAAGTACAACTTTGAGAATTACTCTATTTGATATCACTTAATTTGTAAAAATGGAACATGTATCAGCATTTAATTGCTTTGAATTGACTCAAATATGAATTTACTAAACATGAATTTTATCAATGAAATAATTCCCCGTGATTGATGTCAATTTTTGTTTTCACTGATATATCTTCCAATAAAAAATGACACTTTGTCACTTATTAAATCTATCAAATTATCAGTAAATAACAATTTAGGAATCAAATGAAGTGAAATTTAAAACATTCAGCCAAGCCCAGAATTTGAAGTCATGTTAAACTAAACAAACCTGTGAAACGTTAACTAATGTCTGGAAATTGACTGAATACCCTGAAAATACAAATGAGCCGTGTCATGACAAAACCAACATAATGGGTTTGCGACCAGTATGGATCCAGACCAGCCTGCGCATCAGCGCAGTCTGATCAGGATCCATGCTGTTCGCTTACAAACCTTATAACGAGTAGAGAAACTGATAACGAACAGCAGATGGATCCTGATCAGACTGCGCGGATGCGCAGGCTGGTCTGGACTGGCTGGTCTGGATCCATGCTGGTCGCAAACGCATTAGTAGACTCGTGATTATTTGTGCAAAGTATTTTTAAAATCCCTTGATTTATGAAAAAGTTATGGACTGGACACAAAATATACCCTATAACAGACTATGTAAATCTTATGTAAATATATTGTATGAACACGTCTTATATCTTCAGATACAGGTACGTCCTGTCGGAGTTCTTGTCTATGCATGTATGATTCGCCTCCGTGTGGAAAATTGAATATTCGATGTCATTGATATAACATTGATTTGAATTGTATTCGAGACTTCACTTAATTCATTAGTTATTTAAAGGCACATTATGCCTCAGAAACAAATAAATTTTCACTTCATTAGAAAGTGCAAAACATGAATGTTATTATGTTTAAACAATGGTTTTTGAGAAATGTTAGATGCTTGTTACCTGAAAAAAGTAGCTAGTTTGTCATTAAAGTGGCAAAATGTAAACAAAGCAGTATTTCCATAGAAAATACTAATTCACTATAACTGTACTTATTGCCATAAAAATACTTATAAAAAGATGGTTCCGGTAATTGGCTTATGCGTAACTTTTTGGATACTATCAAAGTACACCAAAATTAAAAAAAAATTTGAGCATAATGGGCCTTTAAGAAGGAACTAAAATAGTTATAAAGTGTTGCGCAATACCTATAAATCATTGCGAAATAGTGCTATATTTAGCGTGTATACCTTGCGTTCTACGTCAATAATCTGTTAAGCGAGCAATTACGTTTAACACAATTTGTGTATTAATGTTTATATTGGTAAAATTCAATAGTGAAATCGGTGCTGGCTAAGTAGACTGGATACTTCGTCTTTCTCAGCAGAATAAACACCCCGTGGGACCATACCCATAAGAACCAGCAGACATTTTCACAAAAAATCTTACGACAATTTTTTGTCGTAAGAGAAATCTTACGATAAATCTCCTTTTCACAAAAAATCTTAAGAAAATCTTAAGTGCAAAATCTGTCGTAACTTTACGATAGGTCTTCCCCGTTCGTAAGTGTAATTTTTTCTCTCTTAAGGGTAAAATATCATGTATCTCTTACCTAAACTGAATAAAAACAAACAAAAAGTTGGAGGACAACTAAATATTAAGCAAACAGTATGCTATAAATAACACAAATTGAGGTATAATTATTTTTCAACATATACATTTGTGACGTCATGACTTGATGACGTCACGATGGAGAGGGTTATGAATAGTTTAAAATAATGTGAACTATACTGTAGACTAGTATTATTGAAAACTTATAATTTGTACAATTGGTGAGTTCGATTTCATTGCCAGCATGTACTAGTGGTACTTTTTTATTTATTAATAACATAGTAGACCTTCTTTCTGAATCTTTTAGATATATATAATTATCTTCTATCAAGATATAAATTATATCAGTTTGAATCATTTTTTTGTTCTTATTGAAATTTGATTGTGTTCAATAGATATTTCAAGCTCTTGATTACTTGATTTTAAAACCGGAATCAAATAGAGAGCATGCACATCACTATCAAATGAACGTTGCTAGGGATGTTTTTGTCGTAAGATTTATCGTAAGTGAATTTTTTATCTTAAGATAAAATTTTAACTTACGAGTGGCTTTGTGAAAATGACTTAAGATTTAACTTACGATTATCGTAAGTGAAAAACTTAAGATAAATCGTAAGATTTTTTGTGAAAATGTCTGCAGTTACCCCACTCAGCACTTTTTTCTTTCTTTTTTTTGTCAAACATTTTACTAAAATATCACTACTAAGTGTTATCTAAAGTACATGTGCTAGTTTTCAAATTATTATTATTATTTTTACTAAAGTGAAAAGTATATATATTTTTATGCTAGCTAGCACCACAGGTGTTCGGCTCGTTGATTGGTCACTAAGCCAAAAATAAATAAATAAATAAATAAATTATATTAATAAAAATAAACAAAATATACATACTATTTTAAGTAAAATATATATGCATCTCTTATTTTGCTGGGATGGGGGCTTGGTGGCCAATCAATGCGCCGAACACCTGTGGAACAAACCAATGTTAATTCCTTAGTTAGTTTATACAAAATTATTTTAGTTCGATTGTGTTTGAAGCTGTAAGCTTATTGAAACACTCTCGAATCCGTTCCTGGAACCAACCAATACTAAGCAATAAATGTAAAGTTTCTTGCTCAAGGAAACAACGGCTTGCCCCTTACAGGGTTTGAACCCACGCGGTCAGCAATCCTTTGATTACTAGTCCAATGCGTTAATCTCTCGGCCATGCCGCCACTCAACGGTTTACAGTGTGGGAGAGGGTCTCTCCACCCAGATTGCCTGCAGTGTTACATGGTACATTTTAAGGCGTTATTGTTGCATTCAGACACTCAAGTATTTTTTTGTATTGAACTAGAAACATCTGTCATAAAACGCGATAATATCATATTCAGAGTCAGTGCTGTCCTTTTCCTATTTTTCAGTATGAGGTGATCCATCTGATTCGGTACTTGGTAGAAAGTTTACTTGAAACACAGAAAATAAAGATGGAATGTAATCAAATTGCTTATGGTATACTCGAGTATCTATCGTTAGAAATTTTTAGATAATCGAGTCTTTCCAGTGCGAAACGAGGGAAAAAAACAAATATATACCAAATATTGAACTTAAGTGAGTTGGTTTAAATTACGGAAGGTCTGTAATACAATGAAAAATAACATGGAAGTTATTGGCAAGTGCGATAACCATGACACGATATAACATATATACATGTACTTACATAGCAGATTGAACAAAAGATCAGTACTTATTATTCTCAATCACTCAACACTTTCCTAGGAACATTTTATAAGAATATCCAAATGATATACATTTGTTTTGTATTTCTATTTTTTTTTTATCAATATTTGAAATATTTATGAAAAAATTGCCCATTGTAGACTTGTTCACTTAAATAAAAATACATGTACGTTTCTGAAGGTTTGCTTGATTATATACCAGTTATGAATGCATATTGTGAAAAATCGAATGGTATCAGATCACCTCGAGTAGGAGACCATTATGTATTTCGTTAAGAACGAACATTCGATTGTCCATCATGTCAATATAATTTTTATTTTGAAATCATACTAAGATTTCAGCAAAATTAGTACAGTGCGTCATTTACCGTTACCTACCAGTCTTATTCACTCTTTTTAACATCCAAAAAAGGCGTGATGGCAGCGACACCAGCACTGTTTACCAGAAGATGCACGGGTCCGACACCTTCAACCGCCTTTCTTGTCCCTTCCCAGTCACTCGAGTCATATTGTACTGGAATTATGCTTGGTTCCTGTCAAAAGGGTAATTGATTACACATAATGTAAATAGTGTAATAATGTAAAGCACATTTATAAAAAAAATTAGAAGATGAAACGAATTTGAATTTGTAGCGCGATTTTATGCTGTTTTATCTTAAACGAAATTGTGTTATGTCACCGCAAGCAAGACATACTGGCGTTTTCTATATAAATTCTCTATTGACCTTGGAAGACGTACTAGAGGTTAGTTTAATGACTATATGACCAAGTATTGTCAGATTATCAAAATTTGACGAGCAACATGTTCACTATGATGCGCATACTGTACTAATAATTTGATGAAGATAATTACCTCTTCTTTGAATTTCTGTAAATCCGCTTCTATTTTTTTCCAAGATAATCACTTCTGCTCCACATTTTAGCAAAGCTTGCGCAATAGATTTACCAATTCCTAAAAAAGGAGCACAGAAGGGATGTTGAAAAAAGCTAATTACTGCATTCGTAAAATATTGACTACTTGTTGGTCAGCTTGTATAAGCCACTAGCTGATAAGCCTTGCCTAATAAACCTGCCATCACCATATTGTTAACAGTATTATTAGCAATAAACATAGTATATCAAGCAGAAAATACAGCATGTACATATAACGTTAAGTTTCAATTTTCCAACGGGTTTAATATCATTCAAATATAAATTTTATTAACAAACCTCGTCCACCACCGGTAACCAGTGCACGTTTTCCCTTAAAGTTGATTTCCATTTTTATTTTTCAAACTTCCACAACTGTGCAAACTAAATAAATAAATTAAGCTTGTAAATACAATATGTATATCTTGAGCAGTAGAATAGCTTCCTCGTCAACTACAAAATCTTATATCGTAGTTGCCGCGCACGTTAGCATGCAAAAAACCCCGACAACTCGAGCCTAAAAAGATAATGTTAATCCAAATTGACACGGTATCTCTTCAACAGATACAATTTATGTTATAAAGTTGAAGTGTTCCTAGGTACAAACAGATAAATTCATTTAATTGTACTAATATCGTGTTTGTAAAGTTAAAGGTATGTGTAACAGTTAAAGTTCGAAAATCGTTGAAGATTTTTTCTTCTTTAAAAAGAGCAAACATGGGTTTTATAACGTTTAATACGTTCTAGAGCACTAAAGATGCTTATTACCTGAAGAAAGTTGCGCTAATAGTGAACGGACCTTTCCCGTGTTTACAGATTTATGTAAATTGTCTAACTTGTTATCCAATTGCTACACTGAGATAGTACATAGTCACTGGTTGACCAGGTTTGCACAAAAGACATAATTACATTTAAACAGCAACAATATTCAATGCGTTACTTTAAATGTCCTATTATGGTGAACTACTTGAATATTTTTTATAATATAACAGTAGATAAAGTTCTCCAATATTGTAATGCCTGGTATGCCTCAGAATTGCTACCATATTTTTCTCAAAAAAACAAAAACAAAACAAAACAACTTTTTATTTTGGGTACATTGTTAAAGTTTCCATCAAAATACTCATTTGCCATATAATTGAACCATCTTTGCTCCTTTTGCTTCGTTGGCAATTGGTATAATTATAAGTCTTGAAAAGTGACCTTTAATTATAATATCTAAGACATACGTGAATTTTCAAGTGAATATCTTCAGTGATGAAGAAGTCGTTCAAGCCTTTTATTGCCAGCGAGGACGACAAGGTGTGTATGATAGCACCAATTCTTCTCAGAGCCGTGCAGAAATTACAAATTGTTGTTTTATTGTTTACCGATACCTTTCTACATTATTTTCTTTAGCCTTCTACCTGTATAGTTTTACTTCAAACACATCGATAATTTCTAACAGATTTATTTCTTTATTTCCGTCATGAAAAGCCAGTCTAAAAGAATTACAAGATATTATTTATTTTTGCCTCTAAGGGAAACAACTCCACAGACCATATCACAGCAGTTGACTGTTTTATGCACAGAGGAATTGTTCATATTCAAACTATTGCATGTTCTCCTACAGAAGTTTGCATTGCACGGTACAATGAATAAAACGATACTAAAATGTTAAAATGCAAATGGTAAGAAGAAAAAGTGACCATTATATATCATTTAACCATGGAAAGTATGTCATTTATTATACTTGATACTTTACATTCTCAAAATATTACTAACTTCAGTATATCAACGATTTGATTTCTTCAACAGAATTTACATAAAGATCTGTTTTATCCATACAATACATTGGCTTAGTCAATGGGTGTTTTATCCGCGCAGTCTGATCAGGATCCATGCTGTTCGCTTACAAACCCTATTATAAGTAGAGAAACTGATAGCGAACAGCATGGATCCTGATCAGGCTGCGCGGAGGCGCAGGCTGGTCTGGGCAAACCCACTATGTTGGTTTTGTCGTGACGCGGCTCATTTATAGAACAAACATAATACACCGGGGATATTATTCAGGCTTTCAGGCTAGAGTTATTGGACCGTGTACATAAATATCCAATGAATGATAATACAAGGTTAGCTTTTAAAAAAGCTAGTAGCGACTCGCTTCGTAATTTTTTTCCATGTAAACATGACAGTTCTGTTAGCTGAAGAGACTTCAGCGAACATCAAAATAAAAGTGACATAAAGTTATGGAAGCCAGTTTCACTCAGTTTAACAAAGAGGAATATGAGTATATATGAAGATGCATGTAAACAGATAGAGCGAAGTCCCTATGTCTATGCACATTTACTATATGGCCTTTTGACCTTGACCAAATAAATGTTAGATAGGTAGAATTCATAAAGATGTCTCTTTATACGAAGTTAAGTTGTAATATGATATTTAGTATTGGAATGAGTGACAGACACAAGTCCTAAAGTAAACATAAGTTGTCAATTAATTCACCCAGAAAAGCCGGGATCCTATTAAAAATTTAGGGATCCCGGGAATTAACCAGTCTTAGATACTTTTCAGATAAGCCGGGATCCTATTAAAACATATAGGGATCCAAGGAATTGGCCAGTTCAAGAATATAGTTTTCAGAAAAGCTGTGATCGCATTAAAACATAAAGGGATCCCGGGATTTGACCAATTCAAGAATGTAGTCTTTGAGTTTTCCAATTAATTAGGCATATAATTATAAGTATTGTGATTTTTAAGTTTGTTGATACATAGCTCTAAATATATTTATATCCAAAGTTTAATTAATTTAACGTTCATTACATACAATAAAAAAACTTAACGTTTAATGGCCTTTCATTACGACAATAATCAACATAAATAAAGTTTTTCCTCTATATCTTATACGATCCCGGATCCCGGCCAGTCCGGTCGTCCCGGATCCCGGCAAGTAAATATATACACTAAATACCGGAAAGGATAAAATGACCGGAAAAAAGGAAAAAGAAAAAAATGCACAGAACCAGGTGTACACTTATGTTAATTAACCAACAGAGAAAACAGGTGAAATCGCTAAATCAAAAGTCAGTGTAAATATGATTTATTGAAAAGAATTCATGAAAACAAACATTTTTAATCATCATAATATCTTTGCGCTCAAAACAATACCTGCTGCTTTTTAAATATGGCGTGAAAATTGAAGGTTTTTTGACGCTATGTAAGATTAAATTTGATTGGCTAAATAATTTTGGATCCTAGCCCTGGTAGATAAATTTTTATAGAAAGCTGGAAGCCAAGCTTTGATTAAATTTTTGGATGGATTCGGAGTTTTATGTTGTTTCTCAGTAAAATCCTAACGTAATACCGGCTCTCCACGGCGAGCCGGCATAATGATACAGTGTGGCAATACAAAATAAGTGAATTATCTGATATGTAAATAAAGAAGTAAGTCATTTGACAGTTAAAGGATAAAAATTGAATATACTCTTCAAATGTAATCGCAATTTTACTTAGCTTATGTTAGCTATCAATTATTTAATGGACGCATTAGTGTCATATGAACCCTAATCATAGATCTTGCCGATGTTGCTATTACAGATGTTAATGTAAATATTTATATAATTATTGATAATCATTGTTATTTTCGTCTTTTTGAATGTTTTGTTTTCAAAAAATTTGACTGTGATCGATGGCTATTGGTTTGTAAAATCATTAATCTGTTTACTATTTTCTACTTTGTTTACTCCACATGGCGTCCTTTCTCGTTCTTATTCATGGCTATTTTGGGTCTTTTTGATAAATAGAGAATCATAAGTAATGCAACTAAGTTACAATGCTATCAGATTTACACGGCAAAGTTCCAAGTTCAAATTGTGATTTCGTTTATCTAACTCTATAGAAATTTATTATACAACAATTCCAGAAAAAAATATTTTTGAGGACAAAAGAACATATTCGTCACATTCACGAGTGTCAGTGTTTGTCAGTAACTCTTTATAAAAATCAACTGAAAAAATACTTTTAGCTTTACAACACTCGCGTTAAAGTGTAACCCTTTCCATAGCATACAAGTGTTTTTTTTGTTTTTATTTTAACTCTTTCTCTTACTGAGAGCACATATATTTCTTATCAATTTCGCCATTGTGAAATAGAATAAAACACATTTTACTACATAATAAGATGAGCAATACTTTAAACATCTTCAAAACGAAACCAAGATATTATTTTCTAAATCTACGTGATTTGGCGTGCACTATTGCGATACAAGTATAAGTGTTATTGCTTTAAGGAACAATCAGTTTTTTCACAATCTCTATGTGAAAGATCAACAATGAAAAACTAAATTGTAGAAAGAGAACAGTAGGCATGTTGCTTCGCATTTGCAACGGATTCTTAAATCTGCTTTAAACTGTAGTCCTTTTTTTCGACTTGGAACTGGTGCCAGAATTGACAATTGAAGAAAAATGTAAGATTTATGTCATTCATAATAAAAAAATGACCATATTTAGGTACACTTTTGCCCTTCGTACTCCCGGTTGATGTAAACCTGACGTTTTAATCAAAGCGTAGACCAAATAACGCCAGAAAACGAAATAGCTTGCAAATGAAGCCCGCTCTAATAAAAGCAACTTCCAATGTTATACAAAGTGTTTGATAAAACGGCTTATAAACTGACGAAGATTCAATATTCTTATGAAAGCTTATATTTTCCGCCGTAGACTAGTACATATCCCAAAGAAATTGATAAAGAAATAAAATATTTACGGCTATTTTCTTTTCCGAATCGAGCAATATTTGTCTTGGAAATGATCCCGAAAATGACGTCAATGTCACGTGGTATTGCTACACTGTGATAGATGTCAAGCAAATATCTTTTGTTTTTGTAGTATATAAGATACTAATATGAAGCTCTATAGAAAACAAGTGTCGCAACTTTGACTCGATTCTAATATAAGCTTACATTTTGAAAAATGCCAAAATTCCAAGCAGTATACTTTTTTGATTATAAGTTTAGTAAAGTGTTCCTTACGGTAATTTAATGGGAAACGAGGTCATTCGTTCATAAACACAAGGAGACAATATGTTATATCTATCATTTATTTATACAAGACGAACGCAAGTACAAGATACAATAATGTGAAGAAACAACAAAATGTAAACAATTGCACATCATTTTTTCTTACTTTCAAAGATTATTTATGTACAGGTATTTGTAGATATATTGCTGCAAATTTCACCATTGACAAAGTACCAGGCTTTCATTGTAGAAGTTGATATTGCAAATGTTAACTCAAACAATACTCCTGTAGGAAATCGTTGTAGTATTCCAAAAGCAGAGCTCTCTCGGAAGCCACAGGCTTGTTGGCAGCGAATGTCTTATTGTTTTTAATATTGTCAGGAGTGACGTCTTCCACTTTATTTTTAACTTTGAGGGAAAGATCTAAAGGAGTGTCAATCCCATCAACCTTTTGTCCTTCTGGTGAACTCGTTGTTATTGTTTCTTTGCATACATTTATGCTTTTTATTTCATTTGAAGAATGATGATGTTGGACATTAAATGTCCGTTTACGTGCGGTTATGCAACGTTTCTCATTGTTGATCTCATGTTCCGGTTTGTCATATTTCCGGTCACTGTCACGTGATGCCATGTTTTCTATGTTTCTGTTCATGTCAGCGTTCCTATACCGGAAGTTGTCTGGCAAATCTGATTTGGGATACCTGGCCTTATAATCTCGTTCTGTGTTCATACTTGTACCATCTTGGAGACATAGGAGATTACGTCTTAAATGTTGCATGACGTCACTGACGTTAAAACCTTTCGTGAAGTTTTCGTGATTATTTTTCTCAAAACTGATTTCTGGCGGACTGTTCCGGTTATTCAAATGGGCACAAGCGTAATGTTTCAACAGGGAGCGCTTGTCTGGGAATCTTTCTGGGCAATGGGTACAGCTAAATATGTTCCAAAACTCCACTTGTTCCGGCTGCTTTTTATGAACACTCTTTACGTGTCGTTCACGTCGTGAATGATAACGAAAGCTTAGATGACAGAATTCGCAAGGATAGTTGCTAACCCTCGTTTTCATTTCATTATTGTTTTTGTCATTTCCCAGTATTGTCTTCTCCTTTATCTGCTGGTCTATGCGCAGTTGATCGTCTGCTGAAACGTTTCGTTCTAACCTGTCTGAACTACAGTCTCCCACTGCAATTTCCTTGGCATCTTCGCTGCATAATGACGTCACAACTAACTCGTCATGAACGAATTTCATATGAAACTCGAATTTGTTTTTATATTTGAACTGTGCGTTACACTTGGAGCATTCGTACGGTCTTTCCCTGGCTAAAACTCTGTCAAACATATTTCGAAGACTCTCTTGTTCTATGTCGTGAAATAATGTCTGATATAACGGTGCCCCGCTCTGCTCAACCCTTAGTTTCTTTATGGATCCGAAAGATTTATGCGAGAACATGGCTTCAATTTTCCGTTTACGGTTGGATATCTTCAAATCTTCCGTAACGTGTGCTTTAACCTCAACATCCCCATTGTCACCTGTATCGTCCTCACTCTTCACTGTTTCATTTTCAACCTTATCTTCACAGACAGCGCTTTCATCTGAAGCCACAGCCTTTCCGACTTGTTCAGTAGTCATGACAACAGTACCGTCCCGACGATTACTTCCGCTCTTCGCTTCGTTCACAATGTCGTCTGCTGTTGTACGTTGCATAGCAACGTAATATCCACATCTGTCAACGTGAAACTTTAAATGCCCTTTGTCTTCAAACTTCTTCCCACATTTCGTACAGTTACATTCTTTGAGTTCGTTTGGTTGACGAACGTATTTGTAGTACGGGCATTTCATGTGATGATAGCCTAATACTCTTCTGCTAGAAAACTTTTCTCCACAGTTAATGCAAGAAAAATTATCTTTGGCAGTATATCGACCCCGGCTGCCTTCCAGATATCCTCCTCTTATGTGAATCTGCAAATTTGTACGTGGCTCAAGCATGCTGGTGTCTGAAACTGATAAATAAAGATGGTTAATTATTTTCTTTAAGTGAATTTTTAGAATAATTCAAAGAAAAGTAAGATTAAGTGCAAATTAGATATAAAAATAAATTTTCAAAATTCATTCTTTACAGGAATTACAACATCTAAATACTATTGGACGCTAAGACTAATATAATTAAATTGTTTAATAAATTAATTTAAATTTAATTTTTATCTTTTTTTATTTATAAAGAAAAAATCGTGGCCGTTAAGGGCATAAGAGTGAACACTAAATCATCATGACATTGTATTGAATTTTGTAATACTGCACGTTTGTAATGTCGCTAAAACCATATACAAGACTGCTGCCAATTTATAAATTATTTTCTTTTTTTCTTAATAAATCGAAGTTTGCAGTATTAGTATTATAAATTATTTATAAAGATTTTCAATTTAGGTTATATGACCTGTTATATAACCGGTGGTTTACAATATAACCGTCGCCAAGCTGGTCGAGTTGCTACCGTTTTATATATGGTCATATATGACCTGTCAGTACGAATTAATAACGAACAGAGGCTGTAACGCATTACTGAAGAATTTACATTTTTTTTTATTTATTGTTTTTCTTTCCGTCATAAAAGTATTTTGTACTCCATCCCAGAGATTTTAAAATGATTTAAATGTTAATACATGTATAATCTTTTTACACGGCTTTAGTCAATATACATGTTTGAGAGAGTTTTTTTGTTTGTTTCGTTTTATTTTTCCTTTACTTTTTCTTTTTTTTTAAAAAAAGAGTAATTCTGCTTCAAAAATATTATCATGTTTTATTTCCCATAAAACTTTTATTTTGGGTTTATTGTTACAGTTTAAACCAAAATACTCATTTGCTATATAATTCAAGCACCTAGGCTCCTTTTGCTTTGTTGGCAATTACATGGTATAATCAGGTAATAGGACATTTCATAATGAATGAGTATTTTGTATGGAATTCAAAATACTATATTTACTTTGTTAACATTTTGCTACTGCATATTCAGCACTTGTTTTCTCTGCTTACATAGTCTAGATCCAAAACTAAAACATTATTTAATACATGTTTGACATTTCTAGAAAAAATAATAAATGCAGATTTCTAAGGCATAACTGATTAGAGGGAAACGGACAAAAGCCCTCCCGGACAAAAGCCCTCCCGTCAAAAAATGACAAGGCGGACAAAAGCCCTCCCGTGAAAATGACAGGGCGGACAAAAGCCCTCCCGTGAAAATGACAGGGCAGACAAAAGCCCTCCCGTGATATTAACAGGGCGGACAAAAGCCCTCCCGTCAAAATGACAAGGCGGACAAAAGCCCTCCCGTCAAAATGACAAGGCGGACAAAAGCCCTCCCGTAACAAAAATAAATATGTATGTTGAATACTTGTGCTTTTTCATTGCACTCAACATATTAAAATTGTTACATATATTTCTTGTTGTTTTCAATTGGCCTTAGTATGTGTATGGGCTAGAACCACCTTTTATTCTGAGTATACCTTCCTGAAATGTTTAACGAGGTAACTTTTTACACGAATGTCGTTAAAAACAAAGCCACTTTTGAAAGTAAATGACTCATTGCAAGGAACATTATAAATGTCTTATACTTTTAAGTTAGATAATTTTAACTTCTTTTTATCATTTATTACTCTATTAATATTAACTTCACATAGGTGTAATCCTTCATATCTACGTGAATAAATATGCACTTTTAATGATTTTAGCACCAAATCGTTTTAGCTACCACTAAGACCTGGTCTCTTACAAATATCAAATTGTTAAACTATTTCAAATGGTATTTTATTCAGTCTTAGAATGGTTTAATTGAACAGTGTAAAGTTTCATAGTGAAAACAGACCTAGAAATTATTTGACAGGATATGGTTTTATAAATGTCATTAAATGACTTACCGTAAGTAGTATATGAACTACCATATATACATTATATATTGGACCGCTATCTAAGACATCCATTGACTAAACCAATGTATTGAATGGATAAAACAGATCTTCATGTAAATTTTGTTTAAGAATACATTTTTTTTAAGTTGTTGGTAACATTTTGAGAATGTGAAGTTTAAAGAATAACAAATGACATACTTTCCAATGTTAAATGATATAATTTACACATTTAAACATTTTAGTATTGTTTTTATTCATTGTGTCCCATTTAATACCACAATGTAAAGTTCTATAAGGAAAAAAAATGTAGTAGTGTCAATAGATTGACGTTATTTCTATAAAATTATAACATAACCTTTTAATGAATGTTAATGATCATATGAAATTTGTGTAGCTAGGTAAGTGCATAAAACAGTAAACTGCTGAGATACATGCATGGTCTGTGGAGTTGTCTCCCTTGGAAGCAAAAAGTAAATAGTATCTTGTAATTCTGTTTAGAACTTGGCTTTTCATGGATTTTATGTTTGTGTTCTACTGACACATTTTTTCACAGTCTGTAGTAACATACGTATATAGACATAATTTGTGAAGAAATAACTTTTATTCACAACAAGTTCCGGAAGTTTAGTTACATCATATGAGAAAATGGCAATAATGATATCATACAAAATATTAATGATAAATACATGATTTACATGAACATATTAACTCCCATGTGTTTATCTGTTTACTGGACAGCAGATTTGTCCAAATATTTTCATAGTATGTTGCAAAACATTGGGAAAAATAACAAAATATGTAGTATAAAGAGTAATATTTACAATAAATTGCCCCTAATTATCTATATGGTAAATCTTCAGACCTTACGCAAAACAGAAGACAGTAATATTAAAATTCAAAAAATATCAAAATAGTTTTTTAGTACCGTATATAATTTGTGTAACCTGTTTTTTTATTTGTATTCTGAAAAGAAGGTGGTTCTAGCTGAGCTGATACATATATTTAGGTCAATTGCAAACAACAACAACTACAAATATATATTAAAATTTCAATATGTTGAGTGTATTAAAAAAACACACAGTAACATACATATATATTTTGGTTACGGGAGGGCTTTTGTCTCCCTTGTTTATTTCACAGAAGGGCTTTTGTCCGTTTCACATTTATGATTCTTCTCGCTAGTGTGTATTGTCATATGCCTTTTAAGATTACCACTTTGAGAAAATGAACAATGACATATTTCACATTGATGATTCTTCTCGCCTCAGTGTATTGTCATATGCCTTTTAAGACTACTGCTCTGAGAAAATGAATGATGACATATTTCACATTCATGATTCTTCTCGCCTGTGTGTATTTTCATATGTTGTTTAAGATTACCACTTTGAGAAAATGAATGATGACATATTTCACATATATGATTCTTCTCACCTGTGTGTATTGTCATATGTTTTTTAAGACTACTGCTCTGAGAAAATGAATGATGACATATTTCACATTTATGATTCTTCTCGCCTGTGTGTATTTTCATATGTTGTTTAAGATTACCACTTTGAGAAAATGAATGATGACATATTTCACATAATTACATGATTCTTCTCACCAGTGTGTATTGTCATATGTTTTTTAAGACTACTGCTCTGAGAAAATGAACCATGACATATTTCACATTTATGATTCTTCTCGCTAGTGTGTATTGTCATATGTTTTTTAAGACTACTGCTCTGAGAAAATGAACCATGACATATTTCACATTTATGATTCTTCTCGCCTGTGTGTATTGTCATATGTTTTTTAAGATATATCTTCTCTGAGCAAAATGAACGATGACATATTTCACATTTATGATTCTTCTCACCAGTGTGTATTGTCATATGTTGTTTTAAGAATACTGGTTCCTAGAAAATGAACGATGACATATTTCACATTTATGATTCTTCTCGCCAGTGTGTGTATTTTTCATATGTTGTTTAAGATGACCACTTTGAGAAAATGAATGATGACATATTTCACATTGATGATTCTTCTCACCAGTGTGTATTGTCATATGTAGTTTAAGACTACTGGTTCGAGAAAATGAACAATGACATATTTCACATTCATGATTCTTCTCACCAGTGTGTATTGTCATATGATTTTTAAGATCCCCACTTTGAAAAAATGAACGATGACATATTTCACATTCATGATTCTTCTCGCCTGTGTGTATTGTCATATGCCTTTTAAGACTACTGCTCTGAGAAAATGAACCATGACATATTTCACATTTATGATTCTTCTCGCCTGTGTGTATTGTCATATGCCTTTTAAGACTACTGCTCTGAGAAAATGAATGATGACATATTTCACATTCATGATTCCGATTCTTCTCACCAGTGTGTATTGTCGTATGATTCTTCTCACCAGTGTGTATTTTCCTATGTCTTTTAAGATGACCACTTTGAGTGAATGAACGATGACATATTGCACATTCATAATTTCTCTCACCAGTGTGTATTGTCATATGTTTTTTAAGATCCCCACTAGATGAAAGAAACCGATCACATATTTTACATCTGAAACTTTCCTCACTAGTAGACATTGTTAAATATACTTGAAGATTGAATCTACAAGTAAAAGATTTAAAACTAACTGTATTGACAGGTGTATTTTGAGGTTACCAATTTTCTACAATGATTAATAAAATAATTCTTTTTAACTGGATATTCAGCCACATGTTTCTTCATGTAACATTTTCGAATACTGGATTTTTTACTGCTCAACAGTGTTTTTGTTGTTGTTGTTGCTTTCTGCCAGTACCACGTGGTTGTCACTGTTTAAAAAGAAAGAAAGGAACAAGCAACTGTTAGTAAACATTTGTAAAAATATATTTATTATTTACTTAGTGGAAATTCTGTTAATCCTTTCAAGACCTTATAAAACTGCATTTAATAAATTTCATAAAAACAGAAATAGCGACATTTTCTTAATAAATTGGTTTTCATATCGACTCTAGATCTTATTTTGGTGTCAAGACAACCAAAGCATAACAAGAGCGATCAGTAATCACATGTGTCGCCTCATGATGGCCAATTTCATGTTGGGACAAATTTTGTGAG